GTAAAATAACTTTGGTAAGAACACTATATGTAAATTCATGCCTATACAGTAGGGGTTCAACTTTAGTATATTTTATAATTGATTGAGATATTTCATCAGTGTAGAAGTACTGTTGGTATTGTTAATAACCCATAGAAACTAATTATATTAAACAGCAATACATAATATCTTTTTCTTGTAAACAAAGTTTACTCACAAAGGTCTTTGGCAATAATTATATATGCATATTGACAATGCAAAAGTAACATTTTACAATTGCATATTATGTACGCTATGTAATAGATCACGTGTATATCATTGCCTTCCTACAGTGAAGATAAATGAATTTTTCATGCATATCAACACATTTTATATGAAAGAATTTAGCATAAGCAATTGTTAAGTTAGGAAAGCATGGTCAGTTAGTGAGTTTCATTAAAGACATTCATGGGAAGCTTAAGACATTAAATAGAAACAAAAGCATTATCCTAAACATTGAATTAATACTTTCATATAAAATGGAAAGACTATGTTGTACATGTGTCTTCAAGAATGTTTAAATGTAAATGTTATAACTAGATTGCGGAAGTTTATGCAAATGCATATTTTAGAAAAATGAACTACATAAGTAAAATTTTAACTGAAATATATTTCATTGTTAGAATGAGAATTGTTAGAAATATAAAAGATATATTTCTTTTTTGGATATTACTTGTATGTTTTACATAAAAGTTGCATATTCTGCATGTTGCATGCATATTGTCAGAATTGTGTGAATGTGACAATTAAGCGATCGGTGCGTACCGATTACCGATCGCTATTCACATCGAGCAGAAAGCGATCTGACGCGAACGTGTCGTCACTTCTTTGGTGACGACACGCAGAGATGGATGCGTTGTATTATACATACATGTATTAAATACATTTTTATGTACTACATATTTCATACAATGTTGATTACATTGATTGAACACAATTTTACGAATTTTTTAGTATCTGCGCAAGTGCATATTCATCAAATCTATGTTGCATACATTTCCTATATTATCTTCTATATAGTTTTTATATTCGTGCATATAGTCTGTATAATCACTGCAAATAGTCGGTGCATAAACTTCCGCAGTTTAATTATAACAAAGGGATAATTTCAAGTGACGTGTAAATATAATTACAGGAAATAGTCAATTACAAATGATATATTCATCTGTACGAATGTACGAAGTATACTCGCGTATGGATAAGTTTTGTACAAAAATTTAAGTTTTTCAATTCAAATATGTTAACTTCTACCTTCTGTGTAAATTAAGAATTACATAAGGTTCATCTGGATTAGTGGCATCTGTGTTGTTAGGTTGATAGCACGGGTTAATAGTGTAATTGAGATTAGGTTGATGAAAACTCACCGGTTGAACACTAGTCCTTCGTCGTTCCATTTCACGATCTTCAAGACAAAAATCTGAATCTGAATCTATTTTTCTAATTGCATCATCCTATAACATTAGAAATTCGAATATTAAGATCATTGTTATCTGATTTTACATATTTAAAATTATACCTCTGTCATTTGCTGCGTTGTTGTAAGAATCCTGGATAAAGGTCCACAACATACAGGTAGCGTCTCCAGTAATGTAGGTCTGGAGTGAGTGAGGAGCGGCTTCATGTAGCGAGTATCAAAATCACCCCAGATTCTGGCAAGTAATGCTTTTTCATTAGGTTTCGCACTACTGCCCGGTAATGACCCATCCTGCATAGAATTATACTGTGAAAGGTGAAGGATACTTCGATTATCCATCCTGTATGATCATGATACTTTTTTCAAACGTAATTGAGTAAAAAATTATAATTATTAAAGAAGCTTTCAGAGGTATTTTATTTCTTTTTAAGTAATTTAAATTATATAACATTAATAGAAAGTTTAAAATATGCATAAGGCAATTTGACAAAACATTGATATTAATGAAATTTCTTGTGTAATGTAATATTTAGTGTTAGGTATTAATGAACATGCTTTATTGTTCGTCGTTATGTTCGTGTACCCTGTTAATTATTGTTGTATATGTTTCCTTAATAAATAAATATATGTATAAATATTAAACTATTAAAAATAAACATGTTTCTATAGAAATTCGTTTTTATTCTCTCCCTCTCTCTCTCTCGCCTCGAATACAAATATATAACAAAGTAATAAACATGATAAAGACAATTTTCAATGGAATTACATCAAAATATCTTTACCAATTCTCGTCATAAAGATATAATCTTTGAAATAATATACGATGAAAATAGCAAGTTGTTTTGAGCAAAACTTTTTCTTCAAAAACCTCTCCTTAAGAGATTTTTGTCTGTGACCATGTAATATTGTTGTGCGAAAGAAAATAATTATTCGACTGGTGCGAAAGAGAGATGGAAGAGAAGTGTTATTCTGTGTTTAGAACAGTTTTGTTTGTGTTATTATTGAACAATCATTTTGCAAAAATGTCAGTAAGGATGTCAGCGTAAATCAGATTCGGAGCTGATAATTAGATCACGATATAATTTCGAAGAAAAATGTCACGATTGTCTCAAATAATTATTTGAAATGATTATTAAATAAAATTATATATAGAGTCAAGTAAACAGCTGATTAAAAAATCGCTTATACAAAGTTCCTAGTTACGCCAATGATTACTTAACACTAAATCTATCTATTGTGCTGGTCAAAATCACCAGATTTCACTAAAAATCTATACAATGCACCCACTGATTGTGGCAAAAAAACAAGAGCAGAGTATACTAGTGTATTACTTTCAATAAAATTTTAGTTATATTTCACGTATATTTTGCATACATTTTATATGTATTTTACATACATATTGCGTACTTTGATATATGAAATTTGCATAAACATCTGCTGTCTACTTTTGACCATTCTCGGCTTTTTCATCAATTTTTCAAAACATATTTTTAAAGATCCTTCTTGTAGACGTATTAATCTTTATATTATTTCTCTCTGAGTGTAACATCAATTTTTTTAATTTAATTGCCGAAAATTGATTTTGGTGACGATATAAATATTTTGAGTTAAAACGACCCAACCACCGCAGTCGAAGCATTAATACAATAGCACTCCATTTATCTACATATATTTAACGTTCAGAGACGAGCAAAAGTATTCGTACAGTACCAATGAAGAAATAAAAAAAGCTTTAATAGAACATTAGCATATATTGTAATATATGCATAATAATATGTATAATAATATTATATATGTATTAATATATATTGTACGTTCTGCAATAACATTAATAGTATGAAAAATAAACAAACAAACCTTAANTACTGATAATGTAATATTGTTAATAGTTACTGCAAACATTTTAATAAGATGAGATATCCTAGATTTATAGATTGAATCTCTTTAGCTTGTATATCTATCAACAGCAGAAAGCAACTCTTATAATACCAGTCATAATGCACAAAACTAGTAATTTATATTTTACGTAATTGCATAAGAAAATATGAAACATATGCTACAAACACAAATGTAAAATACTAATAATTTTGAGTACACAATTTTTTATATGACAATTGTTCCNTACTGATAATGTAATATTGTTAATAGTTACTGCAAACATTTTAATAAGATGAGATATCCTAGATTTATAGATTGAATCTCTTTAGCTTGTATATCTATCAACAGCAGAAAGCAACTCTTATAATACCAGTCATAATGCACAAAACTAGTAATTTATATTTTACGTAATTGCATAAGAAAATATGAAACATATGCTACAAACACAAATGTAAAATACTAATAATTTTGAGTACACAATTTTTTATATGACAATTGTTCCAGACCATGTACATAATAATACTCAATTCTTGAATTAATAAGAAAACATACCGAAGGACTTCGCTCCCTACGCATGTCCAGATCTCCAAAGCCACCTTCGCCTCCAGACTATTAAAATTAGCAAGTTAAAGTTCCTGTATTTACTAGATTAATTATGAAGCGTAATTATTTAGAATTAATAAAGCATTCTTACAAATGTCATTATAATGTAATAGACATGCTAGATTTCTCAAAAAGTTAAGTTCTAGTGCAAGCTATAATTTTAGTAGTTTTTGTGCATCAGTAACCCAATATTATATAAGTGTAACTATAAGAAAATAATGTTAGTGAATATAATCTTTGGAAACAGTCAATAAGTACAGAAATTATATCCTTAAACATTTTCAACCAGTTTCTATGTATAATATTAGAAATGCATGTTTGGAAACATTGGGCTAAAAAAGATGACAAAATAATAGCAATATCAGAATAATTTTGTTTAAAGCATTCATGCATGAAT